CCTATAGCTTAAAATTTGAAAAGCCAAAACCAAAATGAAAGAAAGAAAAATGCTACATGGAGACAAATGTAGAAAAAATTACAAATAAAGACTCTCGAATTATAAAATTATGAAATGGGTGCTTGAATCAACAAAATTACTGTTATAGACCTGATCTTAAACATAAATTATAAAATGTTAGGAAGAAGATCAAAATACCTCCTTCTTCTCCTCTTTCCTTTTTCTCTTCCTCTCCCGCTCTTCATTCTTCTCTTTCGCCTGCAATCTATAAACATGCAAGACTTCGGGTGCTATAGTGCTTCATTGCCCCCCCCCCCCAAAAATAATAATCAATACCTTTACACTTCTGCCTTTTGTATCAACATTTAACTATGGCGTTAGTTCGATCTTCCTTATTAATCAAGATCGGTTTTTTCTCATTATTTTCTTCGTCAGTATTTCTCTGTTCAACTTGACTATGACATCTATCAGCACCTGGTTCATGAATTATATATAGAAGTATGTGTGTAATGATTTAGTAAAATTGTTGAATATGCAAAACAAGTTCGAAGAAGAAGCAGAAGTGTTCATTGTTAATGGAAGAGTTGATTTGCGGGTTTGACCTGCTGCGATCGAGAGCCAAATCTGGAACATTGATTGTTCGAATTATATATAGATGCATGATAAGTAGATACTAGAATTCCTGAATTTTCTTTCGACCGCTCGGAAAATTAAAGGAGACGATCGCTCAGGTTGATAAACGATAAACGCTTTCTGCTATACCTGTAGGAACATACGCGCATAAATATTAAACAGTTTAAGCGATATTTTATGGCTGGAGGCATTAATTTTCACAATTTAATTCTCAATTAATAAATTTAGTACAAGAAATAATAAGTATTGAAAAGTTATTAATAATAACATAAGTTTTAGCAAAAATTGACATTATTTTCACAAATTAGTTGCCGATGACATGTCTAATATAGAAAATAACAAATGCTGAAAAACTATTCACAAAAGCTTAAGATTTAGAAAAAAAAATGGTATTATTTTCATAATTTAGTTTATCAAGGTGGTTCCTTTAAATTTTATCATTTTCAATCTTACTTATTTAGTGTTTAACATTTTACTTCTTCGAGGAATAGTTTCGCTTTTTTTATTGAACAAATGTGTTATTTATAGTTATGTTACTCTGCATTGCAGTTTTAATTTTAAAAAAAAAATTATGCTCGGGATTTGAAGAGAAGTTTTGAAAACGTTATTTGAACACCTTCATGACGGGATCATTGTTATAAAATATTCTTTAAAAATTTTCATTATTTGAAATAATATATATGTTTCTCTGTTTGCTAATGATAAATTGATCCCATGTATAATTGTGCACTTAATGAGATGAGTGAATACAGAACGTGAGTTACTAATAGTAGTACTATTATCCTTGGTATGCCATGATAATTTTCATCTCCATTGGAGACTTACCTTCAGGTTGCCCCGCAAACTTGCATAGTTGCAATGGAATGATTGTAGGCAACCAGATGTCTTTGCAAAGATATTCTTTTTTTTTTTTAATTTGATTATATTGTATTTTTGTGTTCTTTTTTATAGTATTATTAGTGAGACCATTTTCTATAATTTAGATTTCAAATAATAACTCTCTGAGTTAATTTTTATTTAGATTTATTAAATTATATGAATTAAGTTTTTTCTGGTATAAAATGTTTAATTTAATAATATTGTAGAAGCTTAATGAGGTGTAGATCTCAAAGTCTACACAAGCAGACCTAATTTCTTTAAACCTTTTTAAAGTCCTTAAAAAGGTTTTTGGTCTAACCACACCTTTTGAAGGCTCAAACTTGAGCCTAAAAAAAAAAAAAAGGGCAGTATACAAGCTTAGGCTCTAGGCTTTCATTACAAGTTCCAGTTTGTTTGATCTAGTATGGTCTGTTTTCACTCTAAGTAATGTCATCTACTTCTAGTTGCTTTTAATTTGTTGGAAACCTTTGAACTAAACCAGAAATGTTATGTTAACTTTTTTGTATAAAAAAGAATTATAAGTTACAGAAGAAACTAGACTTTATGATATATTAATTAACATTAATTTAGATTTTTTTTGTTTTTGGGTACTAAAAGAAGCCAAATGCCCAAAAAACTCAGCCATTACTAATGGAAAAATTACAATGAAGTTTTAAAAAATAAAAAAAAATTGCAAAATATGTCTTAGAGGTTGTCATTATCTACTCTGCAACTTGTCATTATAAGTTGCTTATGATATTATTAGACTTTTTAATAATTATTCCCTTTTTTAGGACTTGATTGTAATTTGCCCACCACTGATCCTCACCAACATCCAAACACGAAACAGCCTCCTTATGCCTTTCGAATTGAACTCGCACAACTAGAACTTCCTCCCAAATCCTGCTTTCAGATTGAGCTTCAAACCATATTTCGCCATAGTGTCAGCATAAACGTTCAAATCTTTACTTGAAAATAACAAGTTTTTTTTTGTGGACTGATATTTAAAAATAACAAGTTCAAAAAGGAAGGAAGCATTTTTTTTTTCTTTTTTTTCCTTCACAACAGGAAACACATTTTCCCACAATTCACATAGGAAAAATAAATCCTGATAGTAAAATAACAAATCTAAAGTTGAGAATACTAATAATTTTTTAATACAAAAAATGAGATTATTTTTACAATTTATCTAAAAATAATAATTCCTAAATATAAAATGACAAGTATGAAGCCATAATAACCTAAACCTTAGGCAAAGCCATAAATTCACTCACCTTCCTCGTTCCACACCGCACGCCTCCGCAACTCACTAGTCCTGCCCCGACAAAGCACCATGCGAGTTGATCTTTATCCAACCCAGGTGAATTAATATATTTCTAAATTTTAATCCCATATGAAAAAATATATTCAAATATAAAAGAAACAAAAAAAAATTAAAGTAAAGATGATATTTAAAAATATACTTCTATTACACTATTATAAAAAAATTATATTTGTCATGCTTAAATGAAAAATTTGATAGCGAAAAAACACAGAAAATGTAATACAATCTATTGTTAAGATAATGAATGTCAACTCTATTTTCTGAATGGGACCAGCTAATTAAACCAATAAGCATCGGTTTGGTCCTTGGCCTAAAATTGACTGGTCAAAAATCAGAGTAATCGGTTAAAAACGTATTAAACCACGTAGAATTGGACAATTCCGCAAAGAAACCATTTCCAAACTTTGAACCAGCTCATAAAAAGAAGGGAGGGGGAAAAAAACCCAAACACTTCTCTTTTTTCCTGCTGGATATCGTCAGACACTAAATGTTAATCTCCTCTTGTGAGAATTCGAATCTTGGTTTGCCATGTAGAGTGTTAACCCTTTCCGTTAGACTTAATCTTTTTTGATAACCTAAACAATTAATATCATTAAAATTAATTAAACTTTGAGTAGTAAGCGTAACTGTAGGCTCACTAGACTTGGCAACTAATTAGCCTACATCCCAACCCAACGCTTGGTCTTTTTTTTCTTTTTTTCTTTTTAACCCTTGATCTTTGTCCTTTTGGTTTATCTCCAGAACTGTTTCCGAAATTTTGGTAAAATATCCGTGTCTGAAAATTTAATTGACAAAAAAAAACTTAAATTTGAACCCGTCCAAGGATGATCTATAACTACAATATATATTCTACTTTATGCAACATATTTACCGCTATGTGCAAATAATTTTATATTGATGATTGTTATATATTATTGATGCTATGTTGCACATAGTAGAAGATATGTTACACTCACGAATCATAGTTATATTTGCTTAAATTCATGCTTTTTTAGCCAATTAAATTTTTGAACAGAAATTTTTTACCAATTTTCCCATTTGTTTTTGCATATGTGAGAGGATATTTTTAATTTATGTTATTCCAATTATCTATGTATACTTTCTTAGTTTCTTTCATACTTTATCTTTTTCATTCAGTTCTAATATGACTCTAAAAATTGCTTGATTGCAGAGGCTTTAATTAACGATAATTTTAAAAATAAGGGTTCTAAAATTATTATTAATAATTTCATTAATGTCAAATAATTTTAATTTCTTTTAAAAATAAGGGTTCTAAAATTATTATTAATAATTTCGTAAATGTCAAATAATTTTAATTTCTTATATAATTTTTATCATATAAGTAAAAATTATATTAACTTAATTACAAATAGTTCGGCTACAATTTAATTATTACCCCAATCAGATGAGTTTGATAATCGATCCAGTTTTTATAAAATTGTCATTTTCTATATGCATACTCATGTATTGAAAAAATAGTTGAGTGCTCCGCTGCCCATTGCCTCTAGGATAGGGAAGAAAAAGAAAAATTACAATGAAACCCATGAAGAGAACATATTCGCAAAAAAATCTCATGACAGCTAAATATCTTGCAATGATAACTTTCAGAACAGAAAATAACAAATTTCAATCGCCACCTTGTCATTGACATTTTTTAGTAATTATCTTCTTTATTTGAAACCTGTTTCATCCACCAAAGCGCTTCCTAAAATACAAATGTCAAAATATAATGCCAAATACTTGATACACTTGACAACAACAATAGTGTCAGACCACAGACAAACAGCACATTGTAGAATAAAAGAATGTGAAACCGCCAGATCCTCTTCAACTGGGGTTAGTGTGTTATAAGAAGCTTCTAAATGCAATATTTGTCACAGATGTGCGCACTAATACGAACTCCACTCTCTATAGGATTAGAAATACATGACAGACCAGGATCAACATGCCAACAAAAATGCTTATTTGGAAGATATTGCCTGTCCCATTAATGTGCTACAAAACGAGCAACCTAACAAGAGAATAATAAAGAGATGAAAAGAAGAGAAGGAGGGGTGGTGTTCCTCTGAACACTCGAGCATGTAACCACTAACAACAGCAACATTGACATGAGCCGGTTAAGAAACTGGTCATCTGACAATTTAAAACTCAAATCTTTGTTGGCTACATGCTGCGACTATTCGAGCATCCAGTTGCTTCCATGACAAGCTATCGCATCGGTTGATCACTAAGAGACCAGAAAGAGAACATTCCCAACACAACTGAACTATCTCAAAACTGGCCTTCTGCCGCCACGATCAGCTCCCCTAAAAGCCATTTCAAGTGGCTGTGACGGAGTAAATCCCTGTGCCTCCATTATTCCTCGTATTCTTCGAGCATGCTGCACAAACCCACCCGAAAGGAGACTTCTTATAATTCTCTCAAACTCATCTTGTCTTAATTGATCCTTTCTAGCCTCGAGAACTCCCAGAGCTTGAAGGGCCTTTTTCTCATTTCCTAACCTTGCGTACATATCACAAAGACTCACTTGAATTTTTAAAGGAGGAGCCTCGCCCTGCTGAGCAATTTTCCCCAAAAGTTGTTCGGCCTCATCAACAAGCTGCATCTTTGCGAACCAGTCCACAAGAACAGTGTTAGTGGCAATCCCAGGCTTAAACCCATCCTGCTCTAGCTTCAAAAGAAGATTTAGTGCCTTGTCCAATAAATTTTTCCTCTCATAAGCCGATATCATGCTAGCAGTAACCCTGTCAGCAGGCTTAAATCCAACTTTTATCATGTAGTCAAAGCTAGTTCTAGCCATATCAGGGTTGTCTGCACGCTCGTATGCCTCAACAAGCAATGTACAGGTCTCCATTGTGGCCTGAAATCCTGCAAATTGCATAGATGTTGAAATTCGTAAAGCTCCATTAACATCTCCAAGATGAGCAAATGATCGGAACAATGCAAGGTATATTTCATAAGAGGGTTTCACTTCTCCTGTCTCCAGTTCCCTCAATAGAATCTCACCCATCTTAGGTTGGCCAGCATTTACATATGACATAATCATCGCATTATATATTTTCATGTCTGGTTGGACACCTTGGCTTCTCAAGCTTTCAAATGCTTCTTTTGCGCGATCAAAATTACCCGCCTTGGCATACATGTGAATCAACGTATTGGCTATTATAGCATCTGGAAGAAAACCATTTTCACTCATCTTCTTGAGAATCCTCTCAGTATCATCATACCTGCTCTCTTCAGCATAGACACTAATAAGCTTAGAATAATCCCGGATATTTGTTTGGAAAGACTTTTCTGTCAATGCGATTTCTGATACCTACAAGTATAAAATTTGATTAAAATAGCTAAATCCATAGACCAGAGTAACATTGGGTTCATTCCGGATTAAAATTTGTTCACTTTAAAAATATATCCAAGTAATACATAAAGGTTCTTTTATTTCATAAGCTGCATATACAAGTATCTTCCTAGTTTCATCTGCATTAGCAAAATAAAATATTCATGTAATCATAAAACCTCAGAATTTTGTGGGACACGAATCATCATTTCTATTTAATTGATAATCTACCCAAATTACAGCTGCTCAAATCATTACCCAAGAAAATTAATTGGGAAAAAAAAAAAGTTTTTAGTTCCTATAGTTAAGGTCAACTTGGATCAAGGTCCTAGTAGCTTTCTCATTAAGGAATCAGTCTCCAAGTTTTGGTCAACTTAGGTCAAAATCCTATTGTTACAAAACATAACTGCCGCATCAGCAACGTGTCATCTCCAAGGATTGTGACAAAAGTTTATCATAATTTTAAAGATTGATTCCTCAACGAATAAACCATAGGAACCTTAACCCAAGTTGACCACATAAACAGAGGAACCAAAAATTATATTTTCCCAAATAAATTCGTTGTGGTGAGGGATTTATTAATAAACATTCTTAGCACCTCAAGCAGCATAAAATTACATGTGAAATTCTTGGACACTCTAAAGAAGCTTTGTTAACCAGAGATGGAAGGAACAAACAAAACATATCTCCTACCCAAAAAAAAAAAAAACAAAGGTGTTGAGTTGTTAGGTGGGAAGCAGGATGGTGAAGAATAGATCTACCACAGTACCACTACCACTACCAGTTTGGACATCAAAAAACAAAGCAATGCACATTCCAATCCCAACCATAAGATTCCACCCGAGTGGCCCTAGTTTTGGGAAGATCCCCACATAAAAACATGATTTGTGCTAGCCATAGTCAAGTTAAAACATGTCTTCCAGATTGAGAAGCCAAATTGGAAAATGGAATATAAAATTGGTGCCAAAGTGATGAAAGTAAGAAAATAAAGACCTTTATAATCTGCAATGTAATACCACAAATCTAGTCAACTAAAAACTGGCGGACAACTGCAATAACACAAAAAAAATAAAAAACAACCTTCTGTACCTGATTCCTCCAACATCTTCCTACTACTGTTATATCATTGCTAGTTCAAATTTCTCCATGCTAATGGAAAGAACAAATTGATGCCTATAGTTTGAGATACTCTAATGTTGAAAAAACAACAGAAAATTCCCTCATCAAGCAAAGAAGTCATGCACTTAGAATTGAATATTGCTCTCTCCAAATAATCAGTAGAAGCCTCTGGATAGATTTATACCATACAATCCATTTACCTCACAAAGTTCCATAATCCATAGCTACACTAGAACTATTTGCGTACCTTTAAGTACAACGGAATTTTCTTCTCTTTCAATTTGTCAAGTAAGTTAACCCAGTCTATCCTGCTAGGTTGATGAATCTCTACCCACTCAGCTATCAATGAAGACGGATCATCCATCTCATTTAATGAAATAATTTTATCAGTGATAAGTTTGGCTTTCCCAGATACAAGTTTTGGCTCAGGCGGCCAAATGAGTTCCTCTGCCTCGTGAATTCTGTCAGCAACTTCTGCCCACTTAGGATCAGAGAGATTGAGCCCATGTATCTTGTAGTTTATCTTCCCCCGCCTCTTGGGGAGAGTAACAGTCTTAGACGTCTCCCCAACAGCATCAACCTTCTCGCTATCTGTTCTCACAGTTTCTTCAGGTTGTGCCTCTTTCCTCAGGCGATCCAAACTCTCATAAAACTCATGTTCCTCCATTTTCTCACATGCCCATTTGAATCTAAGCTCTCTAAGCAAAGTCCCACGAACACCAATTTCGCCAGCAAACCTGCACATCTCCTTAACTTCTCCGGACTGCAAAAAAACCTTGATCCTTTCCTTCTTCCGTTCCTTATTCATATCAGCCAACACCATATTGCTCACTTCCCAGACTGTTCTCCACAAATCCTCACTAAAATCTCGCAAATTCCATTTGTGTGTGTGTGTTCTCTGTAAACATATTCTGTAGTACTCTATTTCATTACACCGATCAGGAGTAGTGAAGCAGAGACCGCCGAATTCATTATCGGCTGCAACCCACCCTTTTCCAACTCTGACACAACCTTGCCAACGATGATCAATAGCATGCCATCAATTGTTTGCTTATCAGAGGCTGGATAAGCTTCAACGAGCTTCTTACGCATTATCCACACAAACCGTGACAGAAACTCATTTTTTGCTACATCTGCCTCCTCGTCCTCCACCTTCGAACTAACTTCAGGGTCATATTCCAAATTATTTGGTCTAGTTAGTGCAGTAGAATGAAGGTGTCTAGAGAAGGACGAGATGGAGTTCAGGCATTCATGCGACACGAAGGTAGTGAAGCCATAGCTGTGATCAAAAGAATGAATTGAAAGAAATGTAGGAAATGCGGTGGTGGAGCTAGTTTTACAAACATCAGAGTAAAATAATGGTGGAGCTAAGCTGCGCCTATGTGGTTTTTTTATGGCATGCCTGCAGAGTAAACTCCTCCAAACCATGTCTCAGTGATAAGCCACCAATGCTTTTAGTCCTGCAGAAAGAGGCGAAAAATACCATTTGAGGTGTTCATCAAAGCTATGGCCATCAGTCACACCGTCTTGATGTTGAAAAATTCAGAAAGAGATGAGAAATGGCTAATCTAAATCTAAACTCAAATGAGGAAGGAAAAGTTCAGATATAGCATATAAATCAATAAATCATACCTCAAGAAAGATGCCGGCCACGAGAGCTGTGGAGAGTGACTCCAAGAAGACGTCAGTGACGGCCAGAGGGAGGGCAACAGAAAGTGATAATTTGGAGAGCGTTGAACATGATGGGGTTTAGGTATGGAATCAAAGGTTGAAAGCTACTATGGACTCGTACCCATAAAAAGCCACACTGTCTTGATGTTGAAAAATTCAGAAAAAGTGAGAAATGGCTAATATAAATCTAAACTCAAATAAGGAAGGAAATTTTTTTTTAAAAAAAATTAAATCAGCAATCTGGATTGTGCAAGAACCACACCAAATAGTGCATTTTGTATTGTACATCCTCCCATACTAGCAAAGTTGATAAGGAAAAAGCTAGCACTTATTGTCTACATGCACGCGCTCATTCTTTCCTTCCTTTACCCTCATTAGTTTTCATTCCTTGTTTACCTTTTTGACTCTTGAGGATCAAAGGGGCTGAGCCTAACATTCAAGGGTAGCGAATGAAATATGGTTTAACATTAATGTAAGGACAACCGAAACATTATTTAACAGTCGAATGAACAGCTTGCATGCACCCCTTGATATCAGCTTGACTAAACTTACATATTAAACAAGTTGATTCCAAATTATTAGACTCACAAGGTATTGGTGAACAAAATCTGCTCGTTTAGATTTTTCAAAATTCCAAAAATATAATTCATATCCATCATCCTTAAGTTCATATAAACATATTTGTCACTTTTACGGTCAGAAAATACTGTCCTTGACTGCAAAATATGGTGTAGCTTTTTTTTTCCTTGGAAATAAATTGACATTCAGAGGAAAAAAATCAATTCAACGTAGACATTGCCAGATCAAGTTTCAGCGAATCCTCCATCAAATATGAACAAGAATACCCAAGGCAGGCAAATTTTAAACAAGTTTGAGCGCCAAAGCAATAACAGATACACAAGATAATATGCGTAGTCTCAAAACGCTTGCCTCAACTGATTTACGCTTTCAAGACTTGAGAATTTAGAGACCAATTACAAGAATATTTGAAGAAATGCTCAAGAATACAAACCCCTTATAGTGAAACAAATGATTAATAGCCACATAATGACCAATGATACACGGAGTAACATGATCAACAGCTAAAGATATAGCATATGAACTAATAAATCATACCTAAAGTTAGACGCTGACGACGAGAGCTACGGAGAGTGACTCCAAGAAGACGCCGGTGACGACCAAAGGGAGAGCAACAAAAGGCGGCGATTTGCGTTGAACGTGCTGGGTTTAGGCATTGAAATCAACGGTTCAGAGCTGAAAAAATGTAATGTTTGGTTGTGCTTTTTTTATGAATGAATCAAAAGAATCTTTTGAATGGTTGTTTGAACAATTTCTGATATCTACGGAAAACTGACTACCATAAATTATTGTCACTGACCAAGATGTTACTATAACCAAAGCAATTGAGAAGATATTTCCTAATACACAACATCGCTTGTGCTTGTGAAAATGCCCCATCTTATTTAGGTCATTTCAACTCTAACAAGGAGTTCCAATCATTATTTCAAAAGTGCATGAAAACGTGTGACTCAAAAGAGGAATTTGAACTCACATGGGATGAAATGATTAAGAGATTTAGCCTCAGCAACCATAATTGATTGAATAGAATGTACGCAATTCAGCATAAGTGGTCAATTGTATTTGGCGAAGATATGTTTTCTGCAAATATAAAATCTTCTCAAATGAGTGAGAGCACTAATAGTGTTTTGAGTGATATATCTACAAAAAGAAAACTTCTCTTACACAATTTTTCTTAGCTTTTGAGAAGATGGTGGAAATGGAGAAGCGCTAAGGGTAAAGAAGATTTTCACAACTGTGAAGGCATTCCTTCATGTGCTATCAATAGTGATAAGACTTTATCCCATGCATCAAAAGTTTATACTAAAAATATTTTTAAATTGTTTGAGAAGGAATATTTGGATGGAGTGAGGATTTTGTTTACAAAAATTAAAAGGGATGGGAACATTTTTTATTATGAGTTGTGGAAGGAAGAAAAAGAGTAAAAGAGGTGGCTTGTCCAATTTGATTCATCTAATAAGGATGTTATTTATAGTTGCAAAAAAATTGAATCTATGGGTATTATTTGTTCACATGCATTGAGAGTTTATAACATTAATTGTGTGATAAGAGTATCGAATAAATACTTCTTGAAGACATGGTTAAAGAACGCAAAGTTTATTGATTGTCAACATAAAGGAGAATAGGCAACTAGTAAAGATCCAAAAATTGTCTACTATAATTCTATTATGCTATTAGTTTATAACCTTGTGTTGGCCCCACAAGATCACAAGGGAACTCAAAATATCATGTAGGATATTATCAAGAATGGATCCCAAAAAGTTCTAGAACATCTATATAATTTGAATCAAAGCAGCAATATGGAAATGAATAAAGAAATTCATGCCAACAATCAAGATGCATCTCAAAAAATAGGTTAAATTCTTGATCTACCAAGACCAAAGCCAAAAGGGAGTGGAAGTGGTAGACGAAAGGGTCATTTTGAAAAATAGTGAAAATCAAGTAAGATATAATTTTTATAAGTAGTTGTGTTATATGTGTGTATATATATATATCAGGTATTTGTTTCCAAATTTAAATTTCTCTGTAGAAAAACAAAAAGGAGTAGAACATGTTATTTCAACTGCGTCAGAGCAAGTTTTTGTTCTCCAAAATATTGGTTACACTCATTAGGTAAAATAAATGTGCCTATAAAATTAATAAATATAACAATTATTTCTTTAATTATATAATTGTGTTATATTATAGGCCAATTCTACTTATTTTATTCCAACAAGTCATTCTATGATTCCACTTGTCTTTTATGGTTCTTCGAACATTGGAAGCCCATTTCACATGATCGACATGAGCAACAATTTAAATCAGGTATATTTCAACTAGTTATGTTATTATAATAACTTCATCTTTCTAAGATATGTCAATTAACTATATTATTTTGAATTTATTTCAATGCATTTTTAGGAAGTACATTAATCAATTTGGAGGCCACCAACTATGTTTGCACAAAACAAGTAATTGCCTTCAAGCATTTAAAGTAAAGCCAATGAAAGAAGATTCTTTTGCTCTCATATTATTTGTACTTTTGTATGCTGGGAAGTAAACTAGTAAATGACTTCAAGTTGGATTTTTTTGATTCCCTATTCTTTTAATGTATAGTCAAGGAAAAATGGGTAGAAGACATGATGTATACCTTACAAGCTAGATATTTTTTGGTTCCCAACTCTTTTAATTATAGTCAAGTTGGATATATTTGTACTTTTGGCCCCCTTGTGGTTCCTTGTCAGTTTTTACATTACAGTAAATTCTAATTTTTCATTATATTTATTGTCAAATTAAACTTTAAGCATATTCTAATTTCTACATTATACAAATTACATCAACAGGCATGATAACATATTCAATCTAGATGTTCTATTACTGAAGCTCTGATTTATGAAACATATTTTCATTTATTATATTTGTTTTTACACAATTGGGCTTTACACCATAACACCATACTTACGACTACAAAACTGCTTCATAACAAAGCATTCCTAATACAAAATTATAGACTATTACATAACAAAAGCAAACAACCCACGATACAGATTTATACAATCTCTTAAGGCCTTGTCTTGTCTTCTCTTTCTCTAACATTTCTTTCACCATTATGCTTCAAATTTTGCTAATTTAGAAATTCCACTCAGTCATCATCTATGGTCTTTGAATATTGCTTTACATATTCTTTTCTCTGTAAACAAGTGGTTCCTAATTAATAGAAATTCTGTTGACAAATTTAGGATCCCCTACACCAAATATAAATGTGCAAAATATACTTTGCATAAAGATCCCTACACCAAAACAAAGGTTAGTTTGTGGTCCCCTGTAAAGCATACTTTAACAACATCAAAATAGTATATTTTGACAGCATTATGTATTTACTGTCATATTATATATTTTGGGTATTGCCCAAAACTAGATTCATGAAACATATTTTTAGTGATTGTGTGTCTTTTTTCCATTGGTTATTACACCACACTTTGATAGCATCTAATTACAGAGAACCAAATTCATGAAACATATTTTCATTCCTACATCAAATGGGTCCTAATAATTAGCAATAGAAAATTCAAAATTAACACTTTTGAATGAACAACCTAAGCTACAACACACAGAAATTACATTTGAAAATTAGTCCACTAAAGTGCAATTGTAGCAGCAAACAATCCATATGCACAAACATGGTAATTCTTTTAGAAGCATCAACCTTGGTTACTAACATTGTCCCCATTCAACTCTTTTATGGGCTTCTGTATAAGAATTTTTCAAAACAACCACACAAGTATTAAAACACATGAACCTGCCATACAATGGATATCATATTGAATCAACATGGATGATGCACTCCTAGTCTCTTCTAGGCTTCAAATTGGGGAAAAAACAATAATAAGATTAATTTCTTTATTATATTCCCTATCCACTAATAAGCAACAACCTTGACCCAATTAATGATATCGATGCCACAATACTTGTTTGCAAAGAATTGATTGGCAAAAGATCCATAATCTATTTTGACTATTATATAATTATAGGAATACAATTAAAAGGAGAATGGGTGGATCTGAAATTTTTTTGGGGCCAAAACAGGGCAAGAAAGTATGGGAAATGATAAATGAAAGAGACCTAAAAGGTTGAAATCAAATTGAATTTTTGAGAAATAGATGATGATGCTTCCGCCGCCGCTAGTGATATTGGAGGCA